CATTAAGACGTTTAAGGTGATTTAGTTATTTTCACATTCCTGCAATGAAATGGGTGAAGAGCTTTATGGAAGGTAGGATTGAGGTAAATTCAATGGCAGCGTGATGCCTCTAACATATCTTTAATTAGTTCAAAATAAAAAACGTTCCAATTAAAAAGCTAGTGATAGTTTCGGAACCCAACACGTAGGCCAATTTTGCTCAACTCCTCAAAAGCCAAATCAAACAACAGTTCTAAAAGCACCAAACAAATAAAAATGGACTGGCATTAGCTTCCTAAATTAGAAAGCCCTCATTATGCAATATTCAATTTAAAACTGTTCCAAATAGAAATTCAATGTTATGGCCAGAGGAATCTCAGACATTCACCAGCTCATCTTCCAAGATCAAAGCTGATAAAGTTTTAAAGGTTATCAAATGAAATAAATAATTAATCATATTTTAGTTAACATTGAATTTTCAGCGAACCCTCATGTAGTTTCTTTTACCGTGTTTATAAGTGCAATCTACTTAAGAAACAAACTTTTAAACCACACAATTTTAAAGGCAAACAGATAACTCCAAAAGTCAGAGAAAAGAGAAGCGAAACGTAATTATGAATAACTTAGCTACAAAATATGTGAGGAAACATTGCGCGTAGAAACGGAAATGCTCAGTACAAATATTGCAACGAAAATGCCCCATAATTCACCCATTCACAATAAATAGGGCTCTTAATCAACTCCAAACAAAAGAACATGACAAAGAAATGAACGGCACTAGTAAATTTAGCCGAAATCGCAACCTAGGTCTCTAAGAGAATATTTAATATCACTTCAGTGGTCTATAAAAATGTACATTTTGCAGTATAACCAACTAAACAAATTACGCAGTGAAAAGATACATCTTTCCATAAATGTATTTACAACCAGAAAAATATTATTGACAAAAATACCAAATGGTCAATTATGCCTCTTTATTGGAGACTCTCATAGAATTGCGTGGAATAAATTGAATTAAAAAAAATGAATACTAGCTTTTTGATAATGTTTATAAAAGAATATATACAACACAACATATACCTACCAAAGGGATGCTTCAGCCAACACAGGAAGACATCTAGCTACCGCCAATCTGACCTCAGGATCAGGGTCTAGACTAAGTCCAGTAAGACTAGGCAACAAGTACTCGGTTAGATAAGCAAGATCAAAAAAAGCCGCTCCGTTGGTAGTCGTTGCGGACACTGGCGCCACCGAATCCGCCTCACCAGCAAATAAAGAGCCGAGAAGAAGGTCAAC